GTCTTGATTTCCATTGTTAAAATATGGTCCAAAACTTGTACATCTCGCCGAAGTACCTCTGTATTTTCGAAGAACGGCATTTGTTGTACATGCTGGCGAATTTGTTTGGAGAATAAAGCGATTTGAGTGTGAAAATTTTCGATTCGAAGTGCCGTGCCGTCGTATCGACGATCGGGAATCGTTAGCCTTTATCATGTTTCATGTATACTAGTAACATCGAGTACAAAGTCTTGGAAAATATTAGTCCAACAAAGGAGGAATAAAAGGAGAACACACACTATCAAATAGGCAAGTCAATTTCATTTTAAAATTTATATTTTACGACATATTTTTACTATAATATACATTAATATAATATACATTCATACTATATAAAGTCTATACTGACCCTTGCGAGATTGGGCCGCTGTGCTCTCACGTCCGTGAACTAAGAAAGCGTGGATGCCGTGTTACTTCACTGTCACACGAAGAGGACGAGAAAGCAATACTAGATGGAGAGTTTACATTCGCATTTTGTAATCCCGAGTCTATTATTCGAAATGCGAAATGGAGAGGAATGGTTTCATTTGAAATCTACAAGACAAATTTGCTTGCTTTTGTATTAACAGACAAAGTTCACGTCGGCCCAAAGAGGTGTGTTTAATAAATTTATAAAATACAGATTTTTTTGAATATATATTGCAGGATTAAATTGAATGTATATTGCAAGATTAAAGTGAATGAATATAAATATATATTTATATTAAATTGAATAGATGTGATGTTTTAAATTGAATGAAATTCAGGAGAATGAATATTGCTACAATTGGGCAGGCATACACTGGACAGTAAACATGCGATAAAACCCTGTCTAGACGGCCTGGCGTCAAGGCAATTGCTAGATAGTATACTTCAAAATAAGGTTTCCGTTTTTATATCAATTTTTAAAATAAGTTAGGATTAGGTTAGGGTTAGGTTAGGGTTAGGTTGGGGTTAGGGTTAGGTTTAGTGTTGGGGTTAGGGTTTAGTGGTCTTTAGTTTTGCATTAGGATAGTTTTTTCTACGTTATAAAAACGCAAATCTTATTTTGAAGTATACTATCTAACATCACCCTGGCGTCAAGGATAATGATTGGATAATATTATTAGAATATGATGCATTAAGCCATTATACATTTTTTGCATTCTTTATCCGAACCAGGAATCGCTAATAAATTCACCAGAGGTTTTTCCTTTTTCTTCGCGCGTTTTCTCGCATTTCGTGTTCGCCAAACCTAAAAAAAACTCTGGGCCAGGGTACGGCAACGTCAGCGTGGAAGAGAGATTTGTATCGCGTGCCACCAGAAATTCTCTTCGCCTCGCGTAAAATAAATACGAGCGAGAATAAGGCGAAAGATACAGAACCTCTGGCAACCAGGGTAATAGAAGAACTATATCCCGACGATGACGTAAAGTCCAATCAAACCAGTATAATGGCTGAACATCTTTTCCACAATACTAAAGTAATTTATAAATCACCATTGGTCCCTTTTGCTGTATCAAGAATCCCTCGCTATTCAAAGATATAAACCTGAACTTAATCATGGAATTAAAGCTTCTAAAGAACTAATCATATTTAATTAATTCATTAATAATCAACCTAAAGACTGTATCATATTTCTTCATATAAATACTGCTTTTGATCTTTAAAGGTGATCTACAGTCCGATCTGCGCATGTGCACAAATGAGCCCACTTTTTATGATACAAACAGTTTAACTATGTTTTGAGTTCTTGAAAAGCCTAATTGTTGTTTCTTGATCATTTATTATAAATAGTTGTCAAATATAAATAGTTGTCAAATGAAGCTCAATATTTTGGATACAAAAATGTAAACAAAGGCTTTGTTTACATACGGACTGTAGATCACCTTTAACCTAGCTAGTTTATCCTGATGATAACTGCAATATAGTCGAAACGTGGATAAATATAAAAATGTTATCGATCTTTGGAGTTTAATACACTTGTTTTGTATTTTTATTAAAATACTCAGTGGTTCTAAAATTTTTTGGTATATTGATGTGTTTCATAAAATCTTGTTTCACGGCAGGAGCATTGGCTTTATATTGGTCAGTGGGCAGGAGTCTCTATTATTATGGCGTGTATGGATCGTGCACGGATAAAACGCAGTACGTTTCTGTGGGTTTTTACTACGATGGTTTTGTTAAGTCAACTAAGTATGGTCCTACAAATAGAATTGTAAATATTTTAATCTGGAATAACCGTTTTAGCGCAAATTACCGGTATATCAAGGTCTATCAATGACCTAGCGTTTATGCACGCATATATTATTTTCTGGTTATGTTCTTATCTGGCTAGTGCTTGGCGGCCAGCAGAAAAATTTTTTGGGATCACTTTAAGGCTTGGTTACCAAGCACTGAACTATATATGTTGATATGTACAATGGACCACTGAACGTTACCTTTACTTTCTCTAAGTATATAGCTTATAAAGCAATAAAACGCAAACAGTAACACAATCTGATAAGTAACTGAATTTTATGATGGACACTAAAGTGCCTTATAATGGTTGTCTAATAACATATTGTGACGTGAGTGAGGGGGTCTTCTTTATTACAGTTAAAATATTTCACTTTGTTTAGAATATTCGGGTAACTACTGTGAATGTTGCTCTGCGTTCGGCAAAATATACATCATGATATTCAGCATCATGCTATCCTATTGTGCAATTGTTATATACATTAAAAAAATGATGAATCTGGGCAGGGGGAAGGGGCAGGGGGAAATTGCCCCGGGCCCCGAGTTGCTGGGGGCCCCTGAAAAATTTTTGTTGGGCCCCAGCCTTTTTTGTGTGTTAAATATTTCCGCGCAAAGGACAAGAGATCTGTTTTCTTCGGCTAAGTACCAAATTTTGGCATAAAATATGAGATAAAGTCCCTCGAAAGCAATTGCAACGTACTCGTCCGGAAAAATTTTGTACTCCGGAAACAGGGGGGGAGGTTGTTCTCCAGAAAAAATTTTTCCGTGGGGAAAATATTTTTAGATAGGGGCCCCTAAAAAAAAATTGTCCCGGGCCCCCGCCAACCTAGCTCTCGGCGGCCCTGAATCTGGGGCTGAAGCTGGTGCAAATTGCACTATTGTTCCCAAGTTGGATCTTGGTATTTATATTTGCTATAAACTAGTACATTGATATTGTATAAAATTACGACCAATCAAAATCTTTTCTAAAACCTAATACAAATACTTGCCAAATGAAATGATATTATGAAACCGAGTTTCTGTCAAATAGAAAGCAATAAGTAATTATCTCAAAGAATTTTTAGGAGTATCGAATAATCGAAATGAAATTTCAATCTTTGTTGAAATTTGCTCGAAATTTGTTCGCCAGCGAATGTAGACAAAGCAAGATTCGGAAGAACAACCACAACAACGAACTTTAAATATCATTTCCAGGCTTAAAGATGAATAACAATGTTTACATAATACAATACTTTATTACGCGATACGTATTACGTAATGATAACAAATTATCCATTGTATTTATATAGCTCAGTGCTTGGTAACCAAGCCTTAAAGTGATCCCAAAAAAATTTTCGGCTGGCGGCCATTCACTTTTTAAAGTTGTCGATTGACTACTGGGTAGGGTGGGGCAACGATTTCTTGCTATTCGTAGATTCATGTACGCGTAGCGTACCTATTTTTATCTATTCTGGTCATAAAAACGTTATATTACGCATATACTGTACATCAGTTTTTAGTGTGTTCGTTAATTTATCATTTTATAGTTGTATACATTACTTTCCATTTGGTACCTTTCTAGTTTATTTGTAGTTTGACTGAAATTTGATCTCACTGGCAATAAAAAAACAAATACAGTAAATGACTGTGTGTCGTTGGTAAGTAGTCTGCGGGCGGGCTCCTCCGGTTATGAAAACCAATGAATATTATGAATTTAACATATTCACCGTTATTGGGATTGTTTTTAGTATAAAAGTGTTTAAAAACGGGGTAGAGCATAGAATATGAGGTGAATAAGTTGCGATATGCTTTCAACAACGAGCAAGTGGTCTAGCAGTAAAGACTATATAGACTGTGTTATTCAAATACCATTGTTATTCAAATCCTACAGAAGTTATTTTGAAATTGGGTTGAACATTAATTATACAACCGATAGGTTTTCAACAACGAGGAAGTGGTCTTGTGGTAAAGGGTGTGGGTAGTAGCAATGTGAAAATGTTGTGCTGAGTGGTTATATTACTGTGGTACTATCCACCCCAATTAATATAAGTTAAAATTATACTGTACACTAATGTTTACTAACTTCCGCTTTGTAATTTTATAATGTATTTATTCTCATAATATACAAGTTATACAACACAACAAACCAGGCGGTTATACTCTTGTGTTTATCCGATATTTACCGCGATACACTACATTCAGGCGACGAGAATAATAAATCAAATCGACGAAATTGATTATTTTGCTAAAAAGACCGAGTTTTTAGCAACAGAAACGGCCGAACGAAGTTCCAAAGTGCGAAAAAAACAAACAAAAAAAAACGTGCCAAATAGTCAACAGTACAGCTATTGTTCAACGAAGCGCTTGAACTTAAAACATTTATGGCAACCCCTGATCTTTCCTTGCCTAACTTTCCACCTTTTGACGTCCATGTCGATGGCAACGTTGGCCCACGATGGAAAAAATGGTTAACCAGGTTCGAATGACTTCTTATAGCGACGAACATCACAGAAGCAAAACAAAAACGCGCCCTTTTATTACATTATGCTGGCCCGGCCGTAGACGAAATCTTCGATACTTTATCTGATACCGGCGAAGACAATGACTATATATAAAGAAGCAGTAGACGCTCTGAATGCATACTTTTTGCCTCAAGTTAACTCAACATTCGAAGAGTACAATTTTGGCCAAGCAAAACAACAACACGGAGAAAATATTGACGCATATAATACCCGGCTGAGACAACCTGCGATTTTACCGACGTCGATAAAGAAGTAAAATCACAAATGATTGGGTGTTTGTCACAACGTTTAAGACGACAAGCTTTGCGTGATAATCCAACTCTCAAAGATCTACTAGCCAAGGGAAGAGCACAAGAGCGAAGCGAAGCACAAGCCGAAGCCGTAGAAAAGGGCGTGTCACCCGTAAATTCCATCAAACACGAGCAAAGCCAAAGAGACGCGAGAAACAAAAAAAATCACGAAAAATATCAACAATCGAAGTCCAGATACTTTGGGAACGCTGGAAATCAACAAACACCCCCCGGAAATCGACAATTTCCAACCAGAAATCGACAAATACCCCCGGGAAATCAACAAATACCTGATCAACAATGTCGCAATTGTGGTGGAATTTTTCCACATAACGGTGACTGTCGAGCATGTGGTCATTTTGCCAAGGTTTGCAGATCAAAACCCAAACGACGCGAAATCCACCAAGTATCGGAAACCCCATCAGAGGAACCCCAATATCTATTCACCTTGCAGAATAACCATCAGCACAATACGTCACCACTCTGTGAAGTTTACATAGCTAACGAAGCAGTCCAAACCATCATCGACTCGGGTGCCTCTGTCAATGTTATCGATAATCCACTTTCGAAAAGATTCGAAAGCGCAACAAAAACGCAGTGCTCACTACACCCCGATCCAAGATATTCACATATGGCTCAAATATGGAACTGCCACTCCTGGGCATGACTACAGCAGAAATTCGTTTCCAGTCCACCACCGTCAACGCAACCTTCTATGTCACAAATGGACAAAATGGTAATCTCTTGAGCTGCAACACTGCCGAAAGTTTAGGAATCCTAAAGATAACGATAAACACTGTTTTAGATACCCCCAACATACCTCCCGAGCAAAATTTTCCAGACTTGTTGGATGGAATTGGCAAGATAAAGGACAAGACAATCAAGTTGCATATTGATCCCGAGATTGAACCTAAGGAACAGTCTCACCGCCGTAACCCATTTCATATTCGTCAAGACGTTGAAAGAGGACTTAAACGCCTAGAAGATCTAGATATTATCGAAACAGTCGAAGGCCCCACCCCTTGGGTGAGTCCAATTGTCGTAGTTCCAAAGAAATCCGGAGAAATCCGTCTCTGTGTTGACATGCTGGAAGCAAATAAAGCCGTGAAAAGAGAAAAGCACCTCATGCCAACCCTTGACGAACTCATTGCTGATCTTAATGGCGCAACTGTATTCAGTACCCTAGATCTCACGTCTGGCTACCACCAACTCGAACTTGACCCGGAAAGCCGTCATGTGACAACATTTTCTACCCATGTCGGTCTTCGACGATATAAGAGACTCATTGCTGGCATAAACGCCGCATCGGAAATATTCCAAAATTCAATCGCTGAACTTCTTACTGGACTGCCGGGATGTAAAAACATTTCCAATGACATCATTGTTTATGGTCGTGACGTCAGAGAGCATGACGAAAACCTAAACCGTGTTTTAACCCGTCTACGAGAATACAACGCCCGCCTCAACCCAACGAAATGCACCTTCCGTAACTCAAAAGTGATCTTCTACGGACATTAATCCTTCAGCGCAAAGGGATCAAAGCTGTTCCTCAGAAAATCAATGCTATCAAAACCATGCAACCTCCAGAAAGTCCAAGTGAAGTCCCTTCTTGGTATGGCTCAATATGTTTCACGTTTCATCCCTAACTACGCTGCCATCACTGCCCCTCTACGTGCATTGACCCATCAGAATTCTGTGTGGAAATGTGACAAAGAAGAAGAAACTGCCTTTCGAAAGCTACAGGATGAGCTAACCAGTGATCGAGTTATGTCCTACTTCGACCCAACAAAGCCCACCGAAGTACTGGTTGATGCAAGCCCCATGGGTCTAGGAGCTATTCTAATGCAAGATGGGAAAGTCATCAGTTACGGAGGTCGCGCGCTGTCCGATGTCGAATCGCGTTACTTCCAGACTGAACGAGAGATGCTTGCAATCGTCTGGGCAACTGAGCATTATCATCTCTATCTATAGGGTGCGAAGTTCACACTAATAACTGATCATAAACCTCTTATCGGAATATTCAAGAGCCACAGGCCTACCTCTCCTAGAATCGACCGGTGGAAGCTGAGATTAATGCCTTACCACTACGAGATCATATACAGACCAGGAAAAGACGATGCTAATCCTGCCGACTTCATAAGCCACTCCATTCCCGGATAATATCGCTGAAAACTATGTCAACTATCCTTGCAACAACGTAATTCCGAAAGCTATGACGATGTCAGAAGTGAAGAAAGAAACGGAGAACGATTCCACCTTCCAAAAACTTTCGCAAGCAATTAAAACAAGTATTTGGTCTGATCCAGAAATCCAACCATACACAAATGTAAAAGACGAACTATCCGAATGTGACGGTATACTCCTACGAGGAACACCGCGTTTGGTTCTTCCACAATCACTCGAGCAACAAGCTATTGAGTGCCATCACGCAGGTCAGCAGGGAATAGTAAAGACCAAGCGACTACTACGCGAGAAAGTTTGGTTCCCGTCGATCGACAGAATGGTTCAAGAGAGAATAAAAAACTGTATTCCGTGTCAAGCTGCAACACAAGGTACCATGCCAAAACCAGAACCATTGAAAACGAACCCCACTACCAAAAGCACCATGGAACGAAATTGCTATTGACTTCGTTGGTCCCTTTCCATCGGGCGAAACACTACTTGTAGTCATTGATGAATTCAGCAGATTTCCGGAAGTCGAAATCCTCCATTCCACAACCGCAAACGCCGTCATACCCAAACTCGATGGTATTTTCTCTAGACAAGGGATACCAGAGTCGTAAAATCAGACAACGGCCCACCGTTCAATAGCGCAGAATTCGCAAACTTCGCCAGTTTCCTTGGTTTTCAACACAGAAAGGTTACGCGCTATTGGCCCCTAGCTAATGGTGTAGTCGAACGTTTTATGCGAACACTCGAAAAAGCAATCCGTACAGCCCATTTAGAGAAAAAGAATTGGAAACAAGAAATTAATGTATTTCTACGCCAGTACCGTGCAACTCCACACAGCACCACCAACACATCCCCATCTGAAGCTCTAAACAGCCGAAAACTGCAAACGCTTCTTCCCCAGCTCACCGAAGTTCCCAATCCTGAAGCAGATAATTCCATCCACGAAACGGACAGTGAGAAGAAAAGAAAGATGAAGGCGATGAAACCAGCGAAATAAAACAGTACTCCAACAACCGAAACCTAATCCAACAACCGAAAGCAAGGCAAGTTGTCCACTCCTTTTAATCCAAGTCCTTACAAGGTCGTAGTGAGAAAAGGAAGTATGGTCACTGCTGAACGTGGTTCTCAGAAAGTTACCCGCAACGTTTCGTTTTTCAAAAAAATTAAAGCTACCTTCATCCCGGAAGATGCGACAGTCGATGAATCCGATGATCCAATCCCACATTCCCAACACAACTTGAAGCAACAAGTTGCACCACCACCTCTCAGAAGATCTCAACGGAACAGACAACCTCCCAACAGACTGAGATATTATTATTAGACTGAGATATTAATAAACGTCATAAACGGACACGTTAATCTAAGTGTCATAAAAAAAGACACACTTGCTATGTTGAAATTTAAAAGTTTTGTTTAGAGTATTCGAACTCGTATTACATAAAGAACAGTCTATCGAAATAGACAAATACTAAGAGGACTTTATAGTAAAGTGGGTATCCAGCCCAATTAATATAAGTTACTATTATACTGTACACTAATGTTTACTAACTTCCGCTTTGTAATTTTATAAGGTATTTTTATTCTCATAATATACAAGTTATACAACACAAGTTGTGTTTATCCGATATTTACCGCGATACACTACAATTAGTACTACCTTAAAAAATAAGCAGAGACTCGACGTTTCGAGCGAAGTCCCTACTACTGGCTGTGTGATGAACCATTCTGGTTCAAGTCCTACTGAAGTCATTTTGTGATTCGAAATGTGCCGAATGTTAATTATACAAGGTAGAGCAAAAAATATCAGGTGAATAAGTTGCGATAGGTTTGCAACAACGGGCAAGTGGTCTAATGGTAATGACTATGGACTGCGTAATGTACCAACCAACGAGCAAGCAGTCTTGTGGTAAAGACTATAGAGAGTGTAGTGTACCATTGTGGTTCAAGTCCTACAGAAGTCATTTTGTAATTCGAAATGTGTCGAAAATTAATTATACAAGGTAGACCAAAAAATATAGGGTGAATAAGTTGCGATAGGCTTTCAACAACGAGCAAGTGGTCTCCGGGAAAAAGACTATAGACTGTGTTGTGTACCATAGTGGTTAAAGTCCTACAGAATTTTGTTGGAAAGTGTTGTGCTCAGGTGATCTATAAACGCGGCGTTGTCGCTGGATGGAGGTTGATCAGGCCACACAGACGATCAAACAAGAGAAGCCTCGATTAAGTTTATGAGGTCTTACATAGATCCATACAGTGTCAAAATTGATGCTATTAAATTCTGTTAGAATTTTGAACGGGATGTGTGATTTAATAAAAGCACAAACTCCACCGCCCAGCTTATTAATTCGCCGGTCACATCTTGCTATTGAATACCCGTCAATACGGCAAAGTGCTGCGTCGATTAATTTCTCATTTAACCATGTTTCGGTTATGAAGGCCATACTCACATCATATTGGTCAAGTATAATTTTCAATTCATCCACTTTTGGCAAAAGCGATCTTGTATTTGAGAGAAGGAAAGTCAATAAACTGCTTTGGACGCTCAAGTTCGGACCAATTATTTGGATCTTGCCCAAAAAATCGCCAACTATCCCGGCCAAGCCGGAGATGCCTGCTCGTTTAATCCCGAAGCTAAAATATTGTTCAGGACAAGATAAACTTTTTCCGGTAATGCTTGATCGGTAGGTTCATTGCCAGTCACTTCGTGGACAAGATCGTCAACTAAACGGCACTGATCGCCTTGTTCGTTTTGTAGCAAAACACTAGCTTCGGTGGGCGATCTTCGTCAATTTCTCGTTTTCTCCTTCAGAAGAGCTCCCTTCGCCCTGCTGCTGGGCAGCATCATAAGCACCTTTTAGTTCTTGCACTACAGGAGCCATGATGTGTTTATTATCTCAGTAAGTTGAATCACTTTTTTCCGTTGAGCTCTGCTGGGGGTGTTTACTGTTTTTGCCGCCATTTTCAGCCTCATCGCTGACGGCGTTTACGAGTTTTGTTTTACTGCCTGCGCCAGATTTTCCCGGTTTCCCCGATGTACGGCGGCGTTTTGATCTCGGTTGATCGACCTCGATGTTCTCTAATGACGTACTCGGCTGCGCCGTGTCAGGTTCTGAGAGAAGTGTTTCGACTAACGGCACGCCGTCCATAACATCGCTTGTTTCATTAATTTAGTTTATTGTACGATCATCCAGATTAAATTTCTTTAATTATTTCTGACGTTTCGGCTACCTACACGGCGGCCATTATCAAAGACGTATTACAGTTACAAAAAATTTTACAGTTATAATAATTTTATCTTGCGTCAAAAATGACGTGCGCGTGTTCGTGATGTTGTTTGCTCGTGCACGAACACGCGCACGTCATTTTTGACGCAAGATAAAATTATTATAACTGTAAAATTTTTTGTAACTGTAATACGTCTTTGATAATGGCCGCCGTGTAGGTAGCCGAAACGTCAGAAATAATTAAAGAAATTTAATCTGGATGATCGTACAATAAACTAAATTAATGGAAAACCCGGATTCAAGCCCTTCAGTGAATCACTTGTTTTAGTTGTTTGTGCCATTTTTGATGTTCAAATATTTGCCACTACAGCAAAGAGTTTGCCTCGCGAACTAGGTGGTACTTTTAAAGATGTCTTCCTTTGACGCCAAAGTCCAAAGAGTTTTGTATTGTTCGTTCTTAGTCTCACACTCAAAGAGTGGAGGTTTAATATATCTGAGCATCCCGACCCTTGGGTGTCAACTATTGCTGTTTCTGAAGCTAGACGGTGAATAGTCGCATAGTAAGGTACGACACTAACCCTTCAGTTAGTCAAGTATAGCACTGACACTCAAGGGAGGCTCAGATTGAATCTCCACAGACGGGCTCCACTCAGACTCTTTCGGCTCCTTGAGTGCGAGTGAGCTTTTAGAAATGTGAATACAGGAGTTTTAACTGCTGTACAGTCCAATCTGCGCATGTGCACAAAGGAGCCCTCTTTTTGTTGTACAAACAGTTTATTTAGGTTTTTATCTCATTTTATGTTCTTGCAAAGCTTGATTATTGTGTCAATTATGTATTTTCCGATAATCACCGAGCCTGAGGCGAATAATTGTTTTAGGACTGAATTACTTTGGGACTGAATTAATTTTAATTTCGCTTATTTCTTTATCAGTAACTTCCACAAAGCGGCTAGCCGCCATTTTGAAAATTTCGGTTTTGTTATATTCACCTACAGCACAGGGGGCCCCACTATGAGTTACGATTGAAATAGTATTGTATTTATTTTTAAAAACCTACTTGAATCCCTTGATAATCGATTATTAATTTCTTCTCTCGAAGTTCTGTAAACATTTCGAACTGCTTGGAGTCATTATACTATCACTCTACATGACGTTTCCCGAAGTATAGATGATCGCTGACAAGTAAGGACCGCGGGCGCGAAAATTAATTCTCCCTTCTTTCGTCCCCTTTCGTCTTTTCGCGCCCGCGTCCTTAATACTTGTCAGCGATCATCTATACTTCGGGAAACGTCATGTAGAGTGATAGTATAATGACTCCAAGCAGTTCGAAATGTTTACAGAACTTCGAGAGAAGAAATAATCGATTATCAAGGGATTCAAGTAGGTTTTTAAAAATAAATACAATATTATTTCAATCATAACTCATAGTGGGGGCCCCTGTGCCTACAGGTGAATACAACAGCTTGATACGTCAAATTTGACCAATCAACTTGTAGGTTTTGTTATGTTCACTTGTGCAAAAATACTATCAATCAATATATATTTATTTCCCATGTGTATGTACAATAATAAGTAACAAATACTATGTGTAGTTTGAAGGTGTTGGGCTAGAGACCTACTGGAAACCTTTTCAGGCTTTTTAATGTAGGCCACTAGTTAGGTTTAATTTAATGTAGGCCACTAGTTAGGTTTAAAAAAATTGCATATATATTTACAGTGAAGAGTAATTATTGAAGTAAGACCTAAAAGTATATACTATTTACAAAAGAAGGATATTATATCATAATATACAGTTACAAGATTACACAATTTTCGCTATAGAATTAACGGTTGCTGTACATCTGTGGTCATTGCATATAAGTTGAAGAAGATCTAGCTCACTATAACATGTTGTTTGATTAATCTTTTGTAGACATTGTAAGAGTTTAATCTTTTGAATTTTGTATCTAATGTATTCCATAGATTAACCCCTTTGTTAGAAAGAGTATGTATGACATAATTAGTTCTTTTACAACACTTGTGTAGTTTTGTTGCATTTCTTGTATTGTAGTTATGAATTTCATTGTTTGTTATAAAATAATTTTCAAATGCTTCTGGTAAATTTTTAAGATAATAGTATCGATACATAAACAAAGCAGTTAGGTAATCATTTATTTTGAAAATATCTAAAATGCGTAATTCTTTGAATATAGGTTCTGTATGTTCCGAGTAAGATCTAAAAGTTATCAAAAGCACAATTTTTTTTTGAATATTCAATATTTTTTGAATTCGGGTTTTGTAGGTATTACCCCAAATCAAGTTGCCATGAATAAGATATGGATACACTAATGTGTAATAAATTAGCTTCAGTGAATTTCTGTTTATCAAGTGTCTTATTTTTGCTATTATTCCCGAGGCTCTTGTGATTTTCTTTGATACCTCAGTTATATGGTTATTCCAAGTCAAATACTCATCAATTGTTATACCAAGAAAGGTTGTGCATTTAACATGTTCTATGTTTACATTATTTACGCTAACTTTTACATCTTGTTTTAATTTCTTATTTGTAGATCTGAATATAATATATTTGGTTTTTTTAATATTTAGAGATAGTTTATTTGCATTTAACCATTCTGCAACTTTATTCACCTCTTCTTGTATGACCTTATTTAGTGATTTAAGACAGCTGTTGCTATAAAAGATATTAGTATCATCTGCAAACAGTATAAACGAAAGTAAATTGCTGCTATGTTCAATATCATTTATATAAAGTAAAAATAAAATAGGTCCACGAATTGAACCCTGTGGGACACCTGTTTTAATTGTCATTTCTTCTGACCTAGTTTGATTGTACTTGACAATTTATTTTCTGTTTGTTAAATAATTGTCAAACCATAGTTGAGTAACTCCACGTATGCCGTAATGTTCTAATTTTTGGGCCAGAATCTTGTGATTAATAGTATCAAATGCTTTTGACAAATCGAGGAATATACCTATTGTATATTCTCCTTTATCAATCGCTTTAGTAATTCTATCGGTAAGTTCAATGACTGCAAGCTTTCTCTGAAACCATATTGGTGCTTGCTTAATATTTTACTTTTTTCTATAAATTTAATTAATCTCCTATACATGACTTTTTCCAATAATTTTGCAAAACAAGTAAGAACAGATGTTGGTCTATAATTTTTGAATTCATTTTTTTCATTTGCTTTATAAATTGGAGCAACTAGAGCTATTTTTAATTTATCTGGAATAGTTCCGCTTAGAAAGGTTAAGTTGAATACTAAAAATAGTTGTGGAATAAAATTCTATATTTTGGACCGAAATGTAAACACAGTCTTTGTTTACACACGGATTGTACCGTATCTTTAAGCTTTAACCATTGTGTTTAAATTAACTATGGCCTGGTTCACATATGTTAGTTATTATTATGCTAAGCGTTATGCAAATTAAGGGTCACTGCGGGGGAAGTATATGAAAACTGATCTAATATTCAATACTTGGCTTAACCAATCAAAGGTCAGTATTATTAAACAGGTGAGTAAGTGTGACTGAGCACAAAGCTCGGACGGATACTATTACACCCGTATAGAAATATCTCACATAGTTCAAGACTGAAAATATTTCTTGCCTAAAAAATCGAGTCAGATAAAGGCATTTGTACGTACCAAAGAGATGGGTGATTTAAGCGATAAAGAATTGACACTATGTAAGGATGTGTTCTCGCTTTACGACACAACGGGATCCGACAAGATTGCGCTAAGTTCAATGGGTGAAGCATTACGAGCGATGAGAACGAACCCGACAGAGGCTGATATTCAAAAGATAACGAAAGACTTCAAGACGAACGAGATAAGTTTTGACCAGTTTCTACCGGTTTACAGTTCATTGAAACAACATCAAGACCAACTTGGACACAAAGGAACTCCTGAAGGAATCATCGAATGCTTTCGCCACTTCGATCGTGATTTGAATGGTGTGGTTTCCTCAGGCGAACTCAGGAATCTTTTGACAACGCTTGGAGAGAAACTAAGTGACGAGGAATTCGATAGTCTAACATCGGGTTATATCAATAACAAAGGCGAAGTTTCTTACGAAGATTTTGTTCGTGGCGTAATGGAAATGTAGACATTCATATAATATACAGTAGATGATATACTGCTGTTTAGTTTATTCAAATGAACCGTCGCACACAGCGAACATTCAATGACAACACATTGCTGTATTTTTAAACAAATTTATATCCAGGTTTTATAGGTTACATTATATAGGATTTAGCGACTTTTTATACCATTTGTATTTTGTATTAGACTACAAGAGTATTGTTTTATTCGACAATCCATACAATTCATAATATACAATTTATTTACGTATAAAGACTTTTGTGAGTGTTTAATGGCGTGGTCTTTGTAATCTCTGATGCGTTCCAGCATTGTTACGCTTTGTCTATCGAAAGCTTTTAGGCAAATGCCAGATTTGTTCGACTGTAGGAAAAGAGTACCTGTATAATAGAATGTGTTGCTTGCAGGGATTAATAAGTGAAATAGGAGACGACATACTAATAAAGAATGTCATACTGTGTACATATGCATTCAACATCAACATTGCAATATAAATGTGGGCAAACAAACGGATCGCAAGTAATGAGCGAGTTTAAGCACTCGTGTAACGAAAGACGGGCAATCAAACTCCTTGATTTTAATGTGAAACTTACAGCATAGTATAGTATCCAAATAACGGATGTAACGTATGACATGGCTTTTGTCGATCCATAACTGTCTGGTCGGTCAAGTTAATAATGAAACTGGTTGTCGTCACTATATTGAACTTTTTGCTTATTTTAATAAATGCTGGGCTCAATAAACACGATTGTGCATCAAATCGTTGGTGACCAATCTCAGTTATCGAAGCGAGAAAATGATGGCGAGGCGAACCTATAGTGACATTTGCGTTAGGAGGGCGGCGGTCCCGGACGTTGGTGCCTATTAAGACTGCACAAAAAATCATACAAAACCGCAATAAATTTCGATCGAAACCGAAAACTGCACACACAATGCCACGTACGCATTCGGAAACGGCCTTCGCAACGAAACTGTTAATAGCCCTCAGATCATAATCGAGGTCGTAACTGCCGATGAGAAACCAGTAACCAAAAATGGGAAAAACGGAACACCATATCAGATATCAAATCCGAAAACCCGCTATATAGTATATTTGCTTGAAAACCGGCCAAATGCTAAAAACAGGAAAAATCGCAAAACCGAAAATCTAGACGTCCCCTTTATTATGTTCGGCACTTAAATTAAACGCGACGTTTGAACTAGACCTGAATCTTTCGTTTATATCGCGGGCTCCTGGTGGCTTGTATTAGGTGGCTAAAATAAGGGGTACTCCCTCCTCGTTTTAGGCGAATCCATGCATTGTACGAACCTTGTCTTTTTTATTTGTCTTGAGACTTTTGAATTTGACCTGTATGATCTCGACCCACCCGTCTTGTCATCAGTTCACAAAGACATTTAGTTAACATGCAGGCGGTGTATTAGACAAGGTATAATGCTATGTAAACACAAGGATAACGAAGTCTAATGAAAATGCATTATAATGAGCATCATTTGAGTTATCTGTACTTATCAGCAATGCGGCAATTAAAGCTAAACTGTCATAGGTACGGCTGTCAGTTGAAGACTTGAAGGCGTTAATTTTCTTGTGACGTAACTTGCCATATGTGGTAGTGACAGGTAAGTCGTAGAGTTTAAAGGACATTGGCAACCAAAATTTTTATTATTTATATCTATTAGGTATACTTACGGAATATTTAATTTTGTATTTTGGCCGGTTTGTCGCGTTTAGTTGCTGAGAAAATTTGATTGAATTTGAGAAAATTTGAACAGTTGTCCGCCATTTTGAAAATAAGCGCGTATGCTAATTTATGCTACAAAATACATTATCTGACGTCATTGGCTGGGTAAACACAATCTCATGACTATAGACAATACCGTGTATTACCACGCGTAGTGCATTTTGAGCCAAAACCAAAGGCAGAAAAGTTTTGCCAAGTATGTAACTTGTTTATAACTCTATTTCTCATGGTATATATCCTACTCCGTGTTAAATAAGCGTAGAAATTCGAGTGTAACAAGGCAAATACTAATGCAATATTTTATGATGAATTACCTGCATTGTAAATTGCGCCATTTCTTGCTTTCCCAGTCGCTCGATATGTTTTTGTCTGATAGTGTAGACTTCTCTTGTTTGATTGCGAAGAGTGTTGGCCAGTATAACGCTCAAAACGACATATTTTTACTAGCTAACATAACACGCACGCAATAGAATTCTCTCTTGTAGTTTTGGTGCTACCCAGCCAATGACGTCACAAAGTTCATTGACCTTCGAGATAATTTTTCAAAAATATTTTCCAAGATGGCGGCTAAACTGGCCGAAACACAAAGTTTGCATGCATTTTACTCGTAGACTAAAATGTTCAAGAAGGAAATGATAATATTTTCATAGTTCGGTTGTCAAGTAGGATTGAAATAGCCAATGAAAATTTTCGTTGCCAATGTCCTTTAAGTTCGACTTCCAATACCAATATAGACTACGTTTCACTTCCGTTCTCATTTTGGTACCGGAAATTTTAAAGCGTTAAGTTATCACGACAGATAAAGTATAGAACACATTAATCGTCACCGAAAATGTGCGGTATACTAAATGGCAGCTGAGCTAAAATTCCGACTAAAACATGACTCAGTCGATGCTAATAAACAAATAGTTTACATGTTTATCGTAAAAATTATGAACTATCCGATTTATATGAGTTTATCTTACAATTCCCCCGACTTCCAATACAAGGCCGACTTCGGTAGTGGTGACTTCCAATACACTTGTCCTCGTGCTTCTTGCATGCAGAGAGCATGCGCGTGACATGTTGTTACTGATCGGTATTGGTATCAACCATAGATATAGGAGATCTAGATTGCTAACGCATACCTAGCGCAGGCGGGGCCTACATGATAAATCCAAGATGGCGGTACAAGAGGGCAAAAAGACTATAGATTCAATTACGAAAATCAAGATTTTTGCATTTTTTGCCGTCGCATTGTTTTGAAACTTATTCGGTCAAATTTTATGGTAAAGAGAAACGTACCGCGAAGATTTTGAGCATATATATGTTTGAATTGGATGAAAACTCGCAAAATTATCCAGCGATAAAAGTTCGTGTGAAATGGTCAGTTGGTCAGTTGGAGAGTTTTATTGCCAGAAATACTGTACTATGTTAACATCTAGTCTTGTGAATGGTGTTTTATACTTGCGTCTTTCATCATCATCTGCTCTGTCCTCATAATTATGAAAAAATCACTGTTATGTACCCCTCCCCCCTCTCCTTGCTTGTTAGAGAAGTAAACTGATGAGAGCACTGGATAAGGGTCTATCATCTATGGTCTGTTATAATTTGCTTTCTATGCAAATAGTGAGCAAACATTAAAGCAAAACTGTACATATATAGTACTATATCAGTACTATACACGAACTTTTATCGCTGGATAATTTTGCGAGTTTTCATCCAATTCAATCATACATATGTTCAAAATCTTCGCGGTAAGTTTCTCTTTACCATAAAATTTGACCGAATAAGTTTCAAAACAATGCGACGGCAAAAAATGCAAAAATCTTGATTTCGTAATAGAATCTATAGTCTTTTTGCCCTCTTGTACGCCATCTTGGATTTATCATGTAGGCCCCGCCTGCGCTAGGTATGCGTTAGCAATCTAGATCTCCTATATCTATGGTATCAACACCGCGGAAAAACGTCTGCGCATGCGTCAACCTTACCTGTAATAGTATTGCGAACTTGATGAGAAGCTGTTCCGAACGTTTCCGAAGGCTCAAAATAGCGGTAAAAAGGAGTGACTTCATTGTGCGTCTTTACAGCCAGATTTCGAGCGCAAAAATAAACATGTCATTCTAAAAACTAGGAATAAATACAGCCAGAAGGTTCAAGAAATTGTATTGTACAAGAACATGAACTAAAGGTGCTTGTTGACAAATTTATCGTCTGAAACATTTTGTTTATCAACTAAGCTACGATAATTTCCGAATTTTCGTTTGAGATACATTTCTTTAAAAAAAAACTGTGTCGCCAAATATAAAACATTTTCGTGTTCACAATAATTAAACTTTAGGATTTATTCTACAATTTGAGTGGGTTAAGAAGCTTAACTTTTCGAGAGTTTTCTTAACTTTTTAGTTTGAATTTTTGTTTTGAATAATTTTGCAAAAATTTCGAAGTCGTGTCCGTTAAAATCAACAATTTTTTACATGAATTATATTTCATTCCATACTTTAAATGCCAGGACGCTTTCAATTAATGTCTAGTCTACCCATTTGCTATATTTTCTCGTTTGTTTTACTAATTTTTGACCAATTAATAAGCATGTTTTTGTTTTAGAAATTGATATTCAAATTCCCCGCCATATTTTCATAATTTGGTGCATGCGCAGACGTTTTTCCGCGGTGTTATTGGTATCGGAAGTCGAAGATAAACTCTCTATTGAATCAGTGGAAGATGCGCGGCCAGGATTATACATAATGAATCACAACGTTCTCTGGCTATATTCGTTTGCCTGTTGAAAGGACGCAGTGAGTCCGACGCACAGCCGAAAACTCGTACTCCTGAAATAAAAATATCTAGCCAGAGAACGTTGTGAATTGTGATTCAAGTTGCTGGATAGACTTTGCAAAGTGCTCACGCCGTGCGTGGAGTGTACCTCGACTAAAGGCCGTTTTCCATTAACGTTCACTTTGAACTTTCCTGCTGGCAGAGGTCTCTATTTGTGCTGGGAAGCGAAGGAGACTCTAGAGACCTCTGCCTAGATCTGACACGTTTTCTGTCGCGCATGTGCAAAAATTGCCATGACAACGAATGATGTTCACCACGTGATATCAAACCGGTTTTTGCGGGAGCAACTTGGTAATTCAAAGACAAAGACTTCCCATAGTTTGAAGGAAAACAAATGTATCTCGGCCGTATAAAACAGAAAAGATTGCTTTCTTTTGTTCTTCTGTCACTGCTTTCACAGTTTCATCTTTGAAAATATCAATTACATAACTTAGAGCACTTTCAAACAACG